GAACTGGGTGGCGCACGCGGACATCAGCCCCTGTGCAGGATGGCTGCCTTGAAACGGAGTCGAGCCCAAGCTTGGCCGGAGGAGAGAGGGGACAGGGAGCATGGACTGTACAGCTTGCACCGCATGTTTGACATTGTGGGCACTCACCTGACCCACCGGGACGTGCGGGTGTTGTCCTTCCTCTTTGTGGACGTGATAGACGATTATGAGAGGGGCATGATCCGCAGCGGCCGGGACTTCCTGCTGGCGCTAGAAAGGCAGGGCCGCTGTGATGAGACCAACTTCCGCCAGGTGCTACAGCTGCTGAGGATTATTACTCGCCATGACTTGCTGCCCTACGTCACCTTGAAGAGGAGAAGGGCTGGTAAGTGTGACTGGCATCCCAGGCCCTTCTAAATGCTCTGCTGAAACGATTTAACACATTGTAGGCAGCTTTTTAGGAGCACTGCAGCTGCTACTTTGTGTTGACAAGAAGAGAGCTAACAAAAGCTTTTCCGTGGTTGTTCTGGTAACTGTGTGGGCAGCTCTGTGTGCAGTGTCCAATGCAGGGGTGGAATTGAGTTCTTGGGGCTGTTTGGGTATGCCACGGGTGTCAGACTTGAATGGTTCCCCCAGGCCAGGTCCAAACAATGAGGTTCCTTGATCAAGTCAGCTGCAGTGGCAAGGGGGTTAATGCAGCTGTCATTTGTCCCCCTGCTGCCAGCATATATCCTCAATGAGACTATTTACTTGGGAATTCAGTGGTGGGCCTCAGCCCCACATTCCTGGCCCCTCCAGGAGACCTGTGGGCTGCGTGAAACAAATCTGTGGGCAGGATCTTTGGCACCACTGGGGGATGCAACCCCCAAGAGGAAGGGGGCATGATGGGAAGCATTGAGGCTTGATGCTCAGGCAAGAAATTTGCGGAAACCAAGAGAAAGCAGAGACTCTTTTTCTCTCTGCTGCTTTGCTTGCCAAGAAAAGCATCTTGTACTTCAGCAAAAGTTCCTTTCACTCTGAAAATGCACAAACTGACCCTCTTGACAGTCTCTCGAATCCTGAAGCCTGCTTATGGCGTTTCCTTAACAACAGAATGCTATAGTTGGGTTTCTTTTGCCAAGACTTCATTACTTCTACAAAATACGCTGCTGAACACTTGCTCTTCCACTGGCTGCACTGATGGCCCCATCTTTGCTATGGGAGTTATGGGCTCTAGGGTCCTCTTTTTACAAAAAGTCATTTGAATGGAGTTGATTAGGGAGGGAGGGGGTGGAATAGGTTAAAAACTTGCGTTGAAGGTTTCTTGGTTTAGTGTCTTCATATCTGTTGCACTCCACTCAAAATATTATCAGAGCTTCTAGTGTGCTCTCTGTACCTCATGTCTCACTGATAACTTGGTCTTTGCTTGAGTGGGAGGGAAAAAGCTCTGTAAAGTTTTTAATGTCTGTCCTGGGAATGTCCACGGCATCAAGAGACTGATGGGCAGTTTGAACTAGACTGAGTAGGGCTCAGGATTTAGGAGCGTAGCTTCGAAAATACATTCTGATTTTCCTGGGCTCAAAGGAAGAAAGGAAGGCTAAGATTTGTCCTCCCATGTAGCTCATTAAACCCCATCCCCTTCAAAGAGTTGGATGACCTTTCTGCTGTACCACCTAACTGCCTTTCATACACTGCATGCTCTGCAGCATGTGCTGTACTCTGCAGAGCCCCAGCCAGAGCAAGTTCATTGAATGTGGGACGTAACAACCGTCTCTAGCGTCACCGTTCGCTGAGTCTTGGACTCCTGGGGTGGCCCAGATCTGAAATGGGAACAGCCACTGCCTGGCAGACTCTCCTGCATTGCTTATGCTCTGCCTTTGCTTCCGCTGCTCAGTCTAAGAAAAGTCTCCCAGGTTATTTAATTTGAAAAGTGCAAGAAGAAAACTTCCACGACTTGCAAGACGGGCATAAGTAATAAATCTGAGCAAAACATAAGTGTTGTTTCAATAATAACATCCGAGCTCTGATAGCTGCACGGTTCTGTCCAAGTCCGTTGCTCTTGGCATCCCTAAAGCATTCCTGAATAAAATTCCATGCTTCCAGCCAGGCTTCACAATTATGCCTTTGTATCACCGTAGACAGCAGTGACACATCCAGAGTCGGGTTCCCATAGCAGTGTTATAATCGCATGTGATATATCTCGTCATGAACTAACAGTGCAAACATCTAGGCACGCAGCATCTTTCTGTGGCTGAATTGATTGCCATAGAGAACCTCCAAGACATGTACAGTTTGAAATCATTGATTCTTTTAGTGTTAAAAGTAGTTTTAGGTTAATTCATATCCCTGACAATCTTTGCTGCATTTTGAGGCTTTACAATACCTTCCTGCTTCCTTTGTAAAGAGTCTTTTCTCTTGTGGAAAACTGCAAGCAAGTAAAAGGGGAAAATGGAAAATTCATTGTTTTGCATATAGTTAACAAAACACAGATTTTTTTTTCTCCCCCTCCTTAGCCTCATGTCTGTGTTTTTAGGTGTTAAAAGTAGGTAATAGAAACCAAATAAGACTTTACTTTCTTTTTTTCTTTTTTCTTTTTAATGGTGTCGCTTCTGAATTTTCTCTAATGTTTTGGAACAAGCAGGTTTAATATTTGAATGGTCTTTTTCTCTGCCTTCTGTCCCAAGGGTGGGTTCATTGATTTAAATAATTCAGTTGAATTGTGTGGTGCTTTCTGTGTTCTAAAGGGAACGGTTGAATCACCATGGCTTTTATCTCGGTACTACTTCCTGCTAATCAGAAGGCTACGCTATAGCTCTACGTATAAGTAGTCATAAAGATTGGTGTAAATATGTTCAGACTTCTTATTTAATTTTTTATGATTATGCTTTTATTTCCTAGGTGACTTTTTTTTTTCCTTGTGATTTTTTTTAAGCGGTCTTCGGATAGAAATTGGAATGCAGTTTATAATAAGATATTATTTTAAAATAGTTAAGTAAAAATCTAATATTTAACATGCTTGACTTGAGGAGGAAAAATAAAAATAAATGAGGTTTATAAATCATAATTTTTAGTGTAAAATAACAGAGTTGCTAAAGGGAAATACCTTCTCTAAGTGACCCAAGTTACTTGTTTCTGGTCACTCTGTCCTTGAAGGTTTTGAAGGTGGTAAAGCCAATCTATGAATAAAAAATGAGGTGTGAGATGAGAGGAACCAAGCTTTCATGCTGCTTCAACTCCCAGTTGACTTTTTTTCAACTTTAAATGACCTAGTTGACTAGCCTGAAATTAAGAAAATCATTTCTCTGCACCTGTAGGAGAGGCAACTGCTTCACAATCTAGTTGGCCCTTCCATAAACTCTAGCTCTGGGTGCCAACTAGTGACTTCCTCCCATTTAGGGCTTGGCCATTCCTTATAGCTTGCAGGCCTTCCTCTTGAATATTTTATTTGACTTACAATTTTAATTGGGCCTTTACATATTTTTGTTATAACTTATAACTATTTACAATTCAGTTTTATTTTTAAAAGAACTTTAAATGATAAACATCCCAGGTATTTTTTCCCTTGGAAAAAAATCATCTCTCCATACTGTCCTTTTCTCGGTACGTCTTCCCTAGCCGTGCTCAGCAGCTGCACTTTGATTTTGCACAGTAACTGATTCCTGCCAGTTTCTTCAGGTCAAGTTTGAAACCAACTCCAATGTAATGCCTGCAATCACCACGTTTCTAATAGACTTCAATTTGCTGCTGTATGAAAAGCATTAATAAGGTAAGATGAAAGTGCAGGTTTAAATTCACAGGACTCTGCTGCTGCCTTAGGAGCTGCAGATTGTGATTAAGTAAAGAGATGCAGCTGGACAACGTTGTCCAGCAGTGTTGAAGAGGTTTTCAGTGGAAAGAGCTTGAAGTGACCTAAGTTTCTGAAAACTACTAAAAACTTACTAACAGATGCATGTTTAACTTAAAAACCTGGTACAGACTGAGCCTTATGGAAAAAAGTTTCAGAATTACTAAGCATAGAAATCTTCCAGTGATGTCACATGACAACATGGGCAAGTGCTACTTCTGGCCTCCGAGAATAGCCTCAGATGTTATGTTGTGGTGGGGCTACAATAACACACTTCTTTTAATTAAGCTTTAAAATTTAAGATAATGTGGGCACTTAGTGTTGGGAGCTTAAAAAGAGTGAATTGCAAATATGGTATATTCTCACAGCTGAGTTTAAGCTGAATTCAAGGTGACTTTGAATTTTAAGACCAACTATAAATTTGTTTTGAATTTTCCGTGTCTAGAATCTAGTTATTAGAGGTCCTCTTTAAATTCAAGTCCCCCACCACCGCTGCAGTGGCACGGGGACAGGCAGCCTGCCCACTGTTTCTTGCCTGCCCCATTGCCACCTGTACCACCCCCCTGCCCTGCCCACTTACTTTTGCAGCTGCTCTGGCTGTCTTCGCAGGGCACAGAGCACCCAACCAGGCCAGGTAGTAGTTGCCAGCTCTGGCTCTGGCCTGAGTTGGGGTCAGAGCTGCAGCAGCTCCCCACACTGCTTCGTGCACCCCCTCTCCATGGTGGCCCCCTACTCTGTGCATCTCTTTTCCTGTGCTCCCCCTGCACTGTGTGTTCAGTCCCCAAGCTCTCTCCATGCTGCCCTTTCCCTGCATTCCCCCTTGCTTCATGCATCTCTTCTCCCTACTTGCACCATGCACCCTTTCCCTTGTGCGCTTCCCCCCTGCACTTTGTGTCCCCTTCTCTGCGCTCCCCCTGCACTGAGTCCCTTTCTCCTGCAGTGTCCTGACCCACTGCATGTACCACATCTGCCGCATGAGCCAACCTGGCTCTGGGTCTACTTGCCTGGCCCATACTCAACTCTAAGATGAGGCTTTTTCCCCCATACTGAACATTTTATATTCAAATTATTATGGCATTAGGGGAAACCTCCTCATCTTATATTGTAACAAATAGGGTGTTACTGCATTCTGACTCTATTGCCTTCTCCAGTACAGTCAGCAGCACATGCAGAAAATAACAGTATAATGCCCAAGGGAAACATCTGTCAGCAATTTTATACAGGTGTAAAATTGGAACTGGGTGAGACCTGAGACTTGAAGAGGGTGGAGGGGGCATCACTGGTGGAAGCCTTCCTGGGATGGTGGCCAACTGCATAGTGTATGAAGGTACTTTTTACTCAACACCTGGTAATGGTGGTTGGTTGTCTTGTGTTACGTGCCATGCATACATGTCACTTTAAGTGAAGACCAGTCAACTATTAGACCTTCTGATTCCATCAGGCTGAGATTTTGCAAGTAACAGTGGTAACAAATCCAAAGAGAAGTATTCATCAATATAAGAACTGCCATTTTCTGAGTCAGACCACAGGTCCATCTAGCCTAGTCTCCAGTGTCGCGTAGTGGCAGAGAGCAGATGCTGAGAGTGAACTGGGTAAAACCAGAGTCTTTTCCACTGTTGCTCTCTCATGTGCAGCCTCCAGCATTTAAGGTCTAGGAAGCTCTGATGCAGAGGCCGTGCCCCTCATTCCCATTCTCAATAGCTACTGATGCCCCTTTCCTCCAAGAACGTGTCCAGTCCCTCTTGGAATCTGGCTAATCTCTCTGCTTCGACCACATCTGGTGGCAACGAGTCCCACACTTTAATACCTTGCTGGGTGAAAAAGCTTCTGTTTTGTCAGTTTTAAACTTACTATCCCGTAGTTTCATTTTGTGACCCCTTAGAGAAGAAAAATTAATAGTTTTAAATGTGGCACTTTTCATGTGCAGTTACATTTTTGAAAACCGTTTCTACAGCTTTTCGTATATGACTGATGGCTGGTGTTTTCAGAACTTGGCTAAATTAATGAAGTTTGATCATACGTAAGATCATAACCCTCAGGGTAAGAAGAATCTATTTGCAGCTGGCACCTAAGACATTGACTTCCACAGGATCAAGGGTTTAATTAAAAACCACCTCGCAACAACCTGCTGTTATGGCTGTGAAGAAAACTTTCCTGGTGTGCCACGGTGTGGTCCACTGCTGCCCTAACAACCCCGTGGGCAACAGTGGAAGTGATGAGAATTACCTGTTCCCCTCTGTAGTAGATCAGGAAAATAGTCAGGGCACTAGAGCTCTGAACCTCTTTGACTTTTCCTTTTGTCTTATAATGCACATTGGCTCCTCATAGGTCGGTGTCTGACTGTTCAAGCCTAGATGATGGTTTTCTTTAGGCCCTCCTTTAAGCGTCTTCCATATCAGTCATGGTCTCTGCCCTCCTTTAAAAAAAGTCCCTCTCTTCCAGTGTGTCCAGACCTCGTAGACAAGTACCTAGAAGAGACATCCATTCGCTACGTGACGCCCCGAGCTCACAGTGATGCAGAGCATGGTCTTGGCCACCCTCACAAATCAGGTGAGCGCTTGGTACTGTGCCTGAATCTCAAGGTGTGAACATTAGTTGCTGGGTAATGTCCATGTAACTAATGGAACAGTCTTACTTTGCCTTTTGTCTCCTTGTGCCTCTGCTGTCATCCCTCCCATTCTACAAAACTCTCCCAAAATCTACCTTGAGGGAGTCTGTGTGCTACAGTCATAGCTTAGCCAGATGATAGCACCCAACAGAATTAAAATTCTGGGCAGCTGAAAGTGTTAGTGCTGTTTCACCTTGTTTCCTGATGGCTTCAGTGGTTCATTCCCTCTCAGCAAGTAATTACCATGAAACTTTTTTTTTCCCCCCTGCTGATCATCAGCAAGTGAAATGACACCTGCTGTCTAACCCTCTCTGGAAATACCTATCAAAACAGAGAAGTTTTCTACCCTCCAGCTGCTACATCAGCAGTTTACCTCCCATTTCTGTCTTCCCCCTGCCACTTCCACCACCCACAACTACTTCTCCTGGATCTCAGTGCTAGTTCTTAATGACTTCTTTTCCAACATTTACTGCCTCCTTCCTTGGCTAGAGGTTCCTTCTCTCTCTCGAGCTGAACCCCCAAAGGCAAAGTTGCATTTAATGGATGTCTTAAACCCGTTTCACCCAGTCTGTTTGATTAGAAGTTCAGAAGGTTGGGAGCCTTTTGTGCTGGGCCACCACAGACTGTTTTCCATGCATCTCAAATTAGGCACCTGGCCAGTGTTTGGGTTGGGCATTTGGACAAAGTTGGAAGCTATAGGAAATGAGAGAGGAGTAGATGGTACTTTCCACTGAATTAATGGAACCCAGTGCCCTAACTGGAGGCAGGGAGTGACAGTCCTAGCTGCTAGCTGAAGTATAAAGCATGATCTTTGCCATGGTGCTTTAACCAAGAGTTGAGTCTTTAGCTCTTGATGCCTGGGATCAGCATCCCAGCTTGTTGCTGTCTGCACTAATTCCAGAAAGCAGTCACATTTCCTGTCCTGAACTGCCATCTGACCATTCTTCATGCCATTGAGTAAGTAAAGAAAAGTCTCAATCACCACATCATCTTTGACCCTACAATCAGTCAACCAGGATTTAACTGGCCACGCTGTTATTGGGCACGTCTCGACTATTTTTGAACTGGACAGGGTCACCTGGGCCTCAGACCTGTACCAATAGGATCTTTGCAATGACAACGGATGGCCTTGTGGACAAGTTCAAACCACGTCCCGCATTGTTGACTCGTGTCCATTTACTAGGCTACGTGATGGCCTTCAAGCTCTTCACCTTGGTGATAATATCGCCTTAAGATGACTGAAACAATATGCCAAAACCGCATACGCTAAATATAAATTGCTGTCTACTGTTGCAGTGAATGGATGAATAACTCTTTCACTCCACACCTGTGTGGTGAATGAAATGTTGTCCCTCCCTTTACATTTCTTGTAAAACTCTCAGTGGATGCTGTTTAAACATATGCCGTAACCATTGATGAATGCCAGGTGCTTCAGAGCCTCCTATTGGAAAGAACTGTTTTGTCAAAGCCTGAAGTGACGTTTCTGTTGCTGATGGCATGAAGAAAGCCTCCTATCGGGCCGTTCTCCCTTTGCTGCTCCAGTATTTGCCTTTTACGCACTGACACATCATGTGATGAGGTAGTGAAGATCTACTTGACTTAGTCAAGAGATATGTGTTTTATTTCTGACAGTCTTCCATGGGAGACACTGAGCAAGTTGTTTTGCCTGTAAGCTCTGTGATACAGATATGACTTACAGTGATGTTGCAACTGATACAGGTTATACCCAGTTTTTATATGCTCTGGTTTAACCAGAAATTGTGGGCAGGAATTACGGGGTAAAAATCTCTCTGGTTTATGTTGTGCCAAAGGGCAAGTTAGCGCGTGTAAAGTAGTAGTGGTAATTCCAGTGGGTTTGCCACTATCTGATTCTTACACTCCCAATCTGATTTTTCCCCTTAAATAAGTTCCAGTGCAAATGTCTTCTACTAGCAAATCAGAAGTGAACTTCTGCCTGCCCCCTTCAGTTGCTGGTAAGCTCCCTATCTGGTCTGCAGTCAGGCCTGTTCTTTGACAGTCTTGCCCAGCTCCCATTCTGTAGCCAAAACACGGTTGGCCCCAAACCAGCAGTCCAGATCCCGATGGATGGACAGACTCATGAATTGGTTTATCCTTTAATTAAACACAGCTACCATACTGATGTGTCATTTGCTCCTTCATGTGCTTTTTGAGCAACAAAGTAGCTCAGTTTTCACATTGTCTTTTCATGCTGTCAGACTTGGAAGAGCTCCCTCCCTTTCAGAGTTTTTTTTTTATTCTTCCAGCTATAACCTGAAAGTAACTTATGGTTTCAACCCCGTGTAGGAACAGGAGAGTAACTCCTGGAAGGTGTTTTGGATGCTGCTTTGTTGCTTTACTTGAGCTTGCCACTGGAGGGCAGGAGCAACAAGGCTAATTGGGTTTCCAGAAGGTCTTGAATCCAGACAAGGCAGATTCAGTGTGGACCCAGCTTCTGGGGTTGAATAAAGTCCCCACTAATGAGAGGTTGGAATGACATCTGCCTGGTTTTCCCTCGGAGGCTGTAGTCTGTTATTTTTTTTTTCCAAGTGCAGTACCAAAAATTAGGGACCTTAAGAGTGGTTTCTGTTCACTTGGGTGGATTTTCTCAGAATGTATGTAGGGGCCCAACCTTGGGCGCTTAGAGCGGCATTTGTGTAACTTCGCTGTTTGGGAAGATCTCGTATCCATTTCCCCATCCACTTCCCTGTGCATGGAGCAGCAGCATGGGGGTAGTCAGCCCATTAGCTGGGGCACACTGAATGTCTAGTGACTTTGCCGTGTCTGTCTTGGTACAAAGCAGCTGGTTACTGTGGTGGGTGCTGTCCCTCTCCATACCAGGAACTCTTGCTGTTACCCTTGCTTATGCCTGCCTCTGCCACCCTGCCCATCTTATGCTGTTGTCTGGTCGGACTTGTAGGATGGGGCCACGATTAGCTGTCCCATAAGATGTGGCTCCTTGGAACCGTTTCCCCCACCAAGCCGTCTGAGGGGCTGTGCTTCTGGAGCTGCCTGGCTTCTCAGGAGAGGGTAGGGATGACTTTTAATGGGAAGAGCTGGAGTGTTAACACCAGGGCGTGGGTCAAAGTGTGGTCCAGGTGACTCTTACGTACTCCCCCTCTTTCCCCCCCCATGCTTCAGAGTGAAGGCATCTTTCCTCCCTTCCTGTGCCCTGTTAGAGATACTGCACCCCTCCCAAGAGACGGCTGCATTTCGGCAGTGACTTTGGGCTGCGCAAGCCCTAGTACCTTATTGTGAGGTACTCTGGCTCAGACGTGGCCTGACCTGATCCTTGGCACAGTGGTGCCTGGTAAGAAGTTGCTGAGGAGAGGGTAAGAGAAGAACAGCAAGAACCATCTCTGAGCTGGAGGAGCTGGGTTGTGGGAAAACTGACTGCAAGTGCTGACCAGGTCCTGAAGCAGGAGTCGGCTGGCAGTTCAAGGGGTACCAGCAGTGGGGAGGGGAGATGCATGCAGTACTGCCAGGGAGGTAGTAACAGGTAACAATGGAGCATCTTCAACTCCCCCCAGGCCCCACTCGGGGAGCTCAGGGAGGGCTCTCATGTGGCCAGGGAGGAAGAATGTGGGGCTCAGTCGAGCCTTTTCTATCCTTCCAGCATATGATGCCATTCCTTGGCCCCTTTATAACCCCTGTGCCCTCTTCCTCTGCCCTAGTGCCTCCCCATCACCCTGTGGTCTGCTGCTCCTCGGCGGGACCTCAGATCTGTACCAAGAGGCCTGGCCGTGGGAGAGCTCTTCTCAGTAGTCAGCGGAAGAGGAGGAAGTCAGTGACACCAGATCCCAAGGAGAAACAGACTTGTGGTAAGAGCCTCTGAGGATGCAGTCTCTGTCTTTTGTGGTCCTGGAGTGTATGCTGAGGTGCTGGCTCTTTCCAGGGCCTGATCTCTGTTTGAAAAAGCCAGTTTGCCTGGGTTGGCAGATGGTCTGATCATTCATTTGACTGGGACCTAAGCAGAGCTCTGCAGGGTAGGGGGCAAGAGGGGGACCTGGATGGCAGAAAACTGAGCTCTGTGCTGAAGCTAAGAGCAGCTTGGGATGTTTCCAGGCAGCGGCATGAAAAACCCACAGGCACTGCAGCAGGCTTATCCCGCTCTGCTCCCCTTTCATGTGCCACAGCATCCTGGGATGGCACAGACTCCTTAGAGAGGTGCTCTGAAGCCCTGCTCCTGTGGAAGAAGGCAAGCAGTGGTGCCTCCATATGCCAGGCAGCCAGTGCTTGCCCTGTGTCCCACTAGGTCTGAGAGTATGTGGGAAGTGGGGGAATAAGAGAACTGAAAAGTACAGCGTGCACCCCCCTCCCAGCTCCTATGCTTGTGGAGGTGGTGGAAGGGGCTGTAGGGAACCTGGAGGAGGGGCTGCAGCAGCCAGGGCCCTGCTGACCCCTCGGGTAGGGATGGGACAGGCAGACAGTGGAAAGAGCAGGGTACAGCCCTGCTGTCCCCCTCCTTGTGCCTGCTGCAGGGCAGCTGCCTCCTTCAGGGGTCTGATGACCCATCCCCAAGCTAACCGGTCTGCCCCGCTGAGCAGCTCCTTCCGGCACTTGGCCACTCCTTGCCGTGCGTAATGGGGTGCCCTGCCACCCATGAGATCCTTTTAAAGGTGCTATGTGGTGAAGTAAGGTCCGTAGGACAGTGATACTCACACTTGGCCCTGTGGGTCAGATGTGTGATGCGGGGCCCTTCTGTGGGCTGGATAGGCCAGGGGGCGGGGGAGTTTGGCCCTGTGTGTTGGGATCTCCTTTTCTCAAGAGATTTGGTAGAAGAGGAACAGTGGCACCACTGTCCCCACTACCAAATTTGTGGATCCAAAGGGAGCTCCACAGGTTGGATGGCACAGTGCCATGGGCTGGATCTGGCTGGAGGTTTAGCACCCCTGCCGTAAGGAGATCATTAGTCTTTAAATGGGGTGCCACAAAATCCCACACTGTGAGGCTCCCTTGCAAAGGCTGCACAAGAGAGGAGACGTTCGGTATCCAAGCTTGGCCACAGCCGTCCAGTCCACTTCTGCACATGCAGCTTGGATGGGCAGGACGGTGGCTCAGAGGCTGCGTTTTCCTCCACGTGCAGGTAGGAGGGAGAAGCTAGTTGAGTTTTCTGCTGTTTGACAAGGGGTGAAACAGCTTATTACCATGCAGATGCTGCTAATGCATGCAGAAGCTTGGGCATTTCAGGACTGCCTTGGGCAGCTGTGTCACTCATGCCTAGACCTCTGGCACGTGGCATATACTAGAAACAGCTTCATGGGAAGGGTCTGTGGGCTCCACTCTGCTCATGAGACTCCTCTAGTCAGTGCTTGATCCCCAGGGTGCCCTGTGGTGGGGTAAGGCAGGAGGACACAAACTGGCAGGGGAATGGCTGGGGGGTGGGTACTGGCTGGTGGCATCTCTGCTTCAAGTCTGAGCTCTGCTGTCTCTGGCTCTGTGCCACAAGGACAAGAGGCACAGACCCTGGCAGCAAGGGCATAGCGCCAGGGTCCCCGGACACGGGGGCTGTTGAGAGGAGAGTGCTCACTGTCCTGCCCACTGCCTTGTGCCCCCCAGATATCCGCCTGCGTGTGCGAGCCGAGTACTGCCAGCACGAGACGGCGCTGCAGGGCAACGTCTTCTCCAACAAGCAGGACCCCCTGGAGCGGCAGTTCGAGCGCTTCAACCAGGCCAACACCATCCTCAAGTCCCGGGACCTGGGCTCCATTATCTGTGACATCAAGTTCTCTGAGCTCACCTACCTCGATGCGTTCTGGCGAGACTACATCAACGGCTCCTTGCTGGAGGCCCTCAAGGGCGTCTTCATCACAGACTCGCTCAAGCAGGCAGTGGGCCACGAGGCCATCAAGCTGCTGGTCAACGTGGACGAGGAGGATTACGAGGTGGGGCGCCAGAAACTCCTGAGGAACTTGATGCTGCAGACGGCGCCCTGACCTGGTGGCTGTGGTGCCCATGCCCGGCAGCCCATCGCTCCTCCTCTTGGGTTTGTTTTTCTTTTTTTTTTTTTTTTTTTTTTTTTTTTTTTTTTTTTAAAAAATTTTTTAAATCTTTTTTTAAAAGATGATTTAAACCCCTCCCAGCCCCACCTGCCCTGCGACGGACTGCCGAGCTAGGACTTGCGGCGCCACCAGAGCCAGGGCAGGGCTGAGAGCGGAGGAGGAAGGGGAGCACCCACCTACAGTGCCGGGGCTCCTGTTGCCCTTCCCTCGTTCTTCCCCCACCCCCGTGCAGTTTTTTGTACTGTCTGATTAAAAACCAGTCTCCCGTGGTACCCGGGCCCTGTCAGTGAGCGAGGTGGGTGGGGGGGAGGGAGGGCTGATCCCAGGCTTGGGTCGAGGGACTGTTGTTAGACACTTTATCAGGGAATAGGTGCATGGCGTGAACCCCAGAGGGAGAGGGGGGCATCCTTGGGTGTGAGTGGGGGGGAGGGGGGGATCATCTGTGAACCCAGATGCACCACGTAGCACTGGCCTGGGCACTGCTTCACCTATCTGCTGCTTAGCACAGGAGAGGGTCTCAGCTGAGATGTTTTAGGCCTGGTCTCTGCCCCCTAAGTTGTGTTTCCTTCGGAGGCTGGGCACAGGGGACTAGAACGGCCCTCTCCTGCCTCCCGGCAGGTGCTGTTGACTCCCTGGTACAGCAGGGCCCTTCTGTTGGCAAGAAGAGCGGCGGCTCCATGGGAGTGGCTCGGACAGGAGCAGGGCTTCTGGCCACGTTGTCATCCGAGCGGTTCTCATTGCCCTTTGGGGGGCTGGGAGTGGGGCCACCCTGCCTGGCTCCATGCCATGGCGTGAGGGAAGAGTCCTCTGCACTGATGTAGCCTGTGCTGGGGGCAAGAGCGGACGGGGCTGTTCTGCTTCACCTCCCCACAACCATGTGCCTTCGTTACCCCGTCCTGCCCCTTTCCCTCCCCGGCCAGAACAGATGCTGACCTTTCCAGGATAAAGAGAGGTGTGGATATCGGCTGACATGTCTGCCAGCCCCAACCCCCCTCCCATGGGCAGCGGCCAGAGGAGCTGTCAGTTGTGCCACGTTGGCATGGAGAAGAGAGCTTGGCCCCCGCAGCCTGTGTTGCTTGGGCATCCCAGCTCCCCTGGCTGGCAGTGGGAGAGCATACGGCAGCCTCTGAGGGGCTGCTGTGAAGCATGGTGACACCCACTCCCAGCACTTGTGTGGGAGAGCAGGCCCCATGCCCCCATCTTCCTTCCAGTCCTCCTGTGTCCCTACTACCACGCTGTGCCTGGCTGTTGTGGGGAGGGGGGCTAGAGTGTACCAGGGAAGCTGTGCAGCGTGGGCCCAGCGCCGTCTTTGTTTGATCCTGCCAATAAAGCGTGGTCTGAGTCACTGGCTTGCACTGTGCACGGGGCCAAGGGGGGGGGGAGGGCTGTGCAGGCAGGGGCTGGCTGCTGCCGTCGGCGCGGGGCCTATCCACTGCGGGCAGTGGGCGTCCCAGAGCAAGCAGTCATGGGTGGCGCTGAGCCTGCGTGGCCTGTCCATCACTCAAGCTGGGCTGGGCCCAGCATGCTGAGGCCTAGCAACACTAACTTCACCTGCCCCCCCTATTTATCCTGCAGTGGCCCAGGTGGAAGCCCAGGCTGAAGCACTGATCCCAGCATGAGGGGTGCAGGATGTGCTGGGATCCCTCCTCCCAGCCCTGCTGATGGTGAGGCTGGGCCAGTCTAGCAACACCTGCTTGAAATCTCACAATTGCTGCTCTTAAGTTCTGAGGAGAGGCTTCAACACCCCCCCCCTCCCCCGAACTTGGCACGATCACGGACTTAGCCTTTTATGTGCCCTGGGCACCAGGAGGGCTTCACCTGCTTGGCTCGGGCCCTGGAGACTAATGAGGCACAACTGAGCCGTGGGGCAGTGATGGCTTTTTAATCTCCCCCTCCAGGGTCTGGTGGTGCTCCCTCTCCTGTCCCAGGATCCAGCCCTGCTCTCTCCACGAGGGCTGGGCCCTGGGGTCACTTTCTAAACAGCAGCTCAGATGCTGGATCTTCCCCACAGCCCTGCCCCAAGGCCCTGTCTCCACCAGTCACAGCCTTACCCCTGGAGCTGCTCATCTGACATCAGGGGCTTGGGGGGGGGGGCGGGGGGTGGCAGCCGGGGACCGTGGTCAGTGGGAGGCCGTGAGCGATCGAGCTGCATTTTTTCTAACCAATTTTCTGAGTTGTGGGTGCACGGTCGGTCTCCCCCTCCCTCCCCCAGCGCACGCACGCACACGTACGTAACCCCCCCTTCCCCAGTTTGAGGACAATTCTGGCACAAGTTGTGTAACTTCTGTGACTTCTGTATTTTTTAAGCCTCCAGTATATCAGTCATACTCCCTGTGTAGCTTTCAGTTTTCTTGAAATAAACATCTACTGCATCTCGCGGGCTCCCTGCGTCGCTGCTTCAGTGGGCAGCTGCTCTGCCTTGCCCCTGCCAGCTGGGGCTTTTCTGGAGACCCTCGATTGCGGGGGGAATCCTACTGCCCCCTTCCCCACAGAGAACAGCTGCACCTGGCAGCACTGAGGGCTCCTTGTGCCCAGGAAGAGGCTTCCAAGCCTGGTACTGTGCTCTGGATGCAGCCCAGGGGCTCCGTGTCCTGTGGAAAAGGAGGGGGGTAGGTGGGTTCCAGGCTGAGAGGCCCACCAGTGTGGCTGCTTCACTACCTCCGGGGTGTGGGATGCTGCCCACTGGCACCGAGGCCCCATCTATCTGACAGCATGGTGCAGGAGCTGTGCTGCTGGGTGCTTGCATTGGGGGTGGCTGTGTTCCCCTGAAGTCGGGCAGAGAGAGGGCAAGGCAGGACAAGGTGGAGGCAGCTGTCATGGGGAACAACTGACTCGGCCTAGGAATGGGCCAGGCCCGGAGCACCTGACAAAGTAGGTTGTTGTTGCCTTTGAAAGCTCCTGCCTCTGACCTGGTCTGACTCTTGGGTCTCTTGCTGGTGGTGGCTCTGGCCTGGGGAGCTGGGCTTGCTGCTTGCACACGACTGTGCCAGCAGAGTCCTCCTAAAACAAACAGCCCCAACTCTGGGCAACCTGCAAGGTGGTGATGATTGCTTTGCTCCCTGCAACCCTTGCCAAGCTCCACTGTGCTGCATAACAGGAGCTTCGTTGTCATCATCCCAACCCAGGTGGGGCTGAGCTCTCCAAATCTGCACTCAGGCCAAGCCAAGCTGGCCCTCCCTGGGGGCCTCGGACATAGTTTTAGGACTGGCTCAGACCCATTTTACAGATGAGGAAAGTAATTCCTTTGGGTTTTGGGTTGCATTTGAGCAAAGCCTTTAGGCCCAGGCTGGTGCAGCTGCTGCCTTGAGTCCTCCAACCCCCTCCCAGTAGGATGCTCCTGTTCCTCTGCTGCAGGCAGCATCTGAGCCAGGGCTTTTACTGGCCAAGTGCCATGGTCCCTTTTACATGTGGAACAATTCACGTGCCAGCCCCTTCCCTGGCCAGGGAGTGCTGCCCTGGAGCTTGCACCATAAGACATGGCCATGCTACAGCGCAGAGAGGAAAAGCTCACACCCATCCTGGAGAGCTGCTCTGCTGGGGCTTGAAGCAGGACCTGCCTGGTGCTCAGGTGAAGGAGGGGGTGAGCTGAGCCCTCCATGCCTGGAGAACTACACGCACTTGATGGCAACTGTCCTGAGGCCTGCACCGCAACCAGGCGAGTGGCGCAGTCAGCAGCCAGAGCAGCCATTTCCTCACTTCACATTTATTTTGTGGCTGTGAGGGGAAGGCAGCTCACCTAGGCCTAGTCTTGGGCCCGGGCCCTGTGCAAGGGCCATCCTGGCCACTGGGACAGCCACACTTGCTCCCTGCTCGGGGCAGGCTGAGGCGGCTGTATGGCTGTCCCCTGCTGGAGCCTGGTGCCTGTGGGCAGTGGGAAAGGGGGGTGCAAGCCAGCTAGGCCCCCCCTAACCCCCTACTTACTCCACCAAGGGAAACCTGACAGACACAACCCACTCATGGACTAGGGAGTGATGGGTGGGGGTTCCTCCTGCTTCTCCTCTGTGCTGTCTCCAGGCTGGCAGGGGTCCGCCTCAGTTTCAACAGCCTCGTGGAGCAGCGGGGCCTTCTTCAGGATGCCAACGCTGCCATAGAGTTCAGGCCGGCGGTGAGCCCAGAGGGGCATCTCCCGGCGCAGGCGGTGCAGGTAGGGAAGGTCGATCTCTGCGTAGCACAGCCCTGGCCCCTCCTGGCACTGGGCGATGACACGGCCCCAGGGGTCCACCACCATGGTGTGGCCGTAGGATGAGCGATGCTCGTTGTGCTTCCCCGTCTGCGCCGCTGCAACCACGTAGCACTGGGTCTCTATGGCGCGGGCCCGGAGCAGCACCTGCAAGGGGCAGGGCTGGCCTGAGCTGCGACGGGACTCCAGAGGGCCTGAAAACCAAGCGAGGGCACCTTTCCCCAGGCCAGGGAGCGGCCGTCAGCACTGGGAAACCCTCCCAGACCTGCCCACGCGGTTGGGTGCTCCTTGGTGCCAGCCAGCCTGGGACAGCAGCATGCCCAGAGCCACGGGGAATGCCCCTGACCAGGCCCCAGAACTTGTTCTGCAGCCTCCTCCAGGGCTGGGACTTTGCACCCAGACAAAGGGCATCTCCTCTGCTCTTGGGACTCGTGTTCCAATGAAAGCTGTGTAGAAACCAGCTCTGGAGCTGTTCCACATTTCCAAGCAGTAATGTAGTTGTCTGGATGTTGTTATGGCATGATCGTTCCTTTGCATGTGTGGCCTGCCTTAAGTTTATGGCATGATTCACCAGGTAACTGCGTTATGTAATGTACGGCAGGGGCCTTGACGAGCTGCTGCTGCCCCAAGGGGGAAGGGAAGCAGGGACTGCAGGATAGCTGAAGTGGAGCTCTCAGCGCTGCAGCCCAGGACCTGCCCTTGGTGCAAATTGTGTGGGGAGCAGGGGCTAGCGTCAGGCCCTGGCTGGCACCAGTGCAGCCTGGCAGGGGTGTGGGTCTCACCTCCCAATGGGCAGCCCCCGTGGTCTCAGTGAAGGCTGACGGGAAGGTGAGGATCTCGGCTCCCTCCCGGGCCAGTGCAAGGGAGATTTCAGGGAAGCGCAGATCGTAGCAGATGGCGAGGCCAACCTGGGGCAGGGGGGCAAGAAGACATCCCCACATGATGCAGAACAAGGCCCCAGCAACCCCATGGGGAGCCCAGCCTTGTGTCTGACGAGTCTGGGCCAGCCCTGGGTCCCCTCCCTGTAAGATGCTCAGCCCGGGGGCACTTGGGGAGGGAGGATGGGGTTCATGGTGGGGGCTGCTTGGGGTAAGAAGCTTTGCCTGGGGCAAAGTGGGGCCAGCCCAGCTCCCAGGCATGCAGCAGGTGCAAGGGAAAGGGATGAGACGGCCCCATAGGGGAACCTACTGCCGGTTGCATGGGGTGGGGAGCACCCTAGCACGATTGGCCCTGGCATGATTGGCCCTGGGGTCCCAGCTTCCCCCCCCCCCCCCCCGGAGCAGCAGGGCGGGGGAGCCCCGTCCGGGCTCTGGGCTACTGTCCTGCGACCACGTGCCCTGAGCTGTGGCTCCCACAGCGCAGAGGTGGACGG